ATATATATATATTTTTTTAAAGACAGTTGCTTAGACTTGGGATGCCTTTTAAAAAAATAAAGTCACATATTTTACAAAAATACTGAATATAACTAAATATTTTGTTTAACAGCTACAAGTCAGCTCAGGGGCCAAGGCTTAGACTTGGGATGCCTTTTAAAAAAATAGTCACATATTTTATAAAAATACTGAATATAACTAAGTATTTTGTTTAACAGCTACAAGTCAGCTCAGGGGCCAACAGAACACCTACCAGGCTTAGTCATATAAGAGGCCTCTCTAAACAGCCTGAGGTGGACCCTCTGCGGAAGTTTATGTCCCGTGCTCTGAAATGTCCATCAGAGGATCTCAGTAGAAATACACTTGTGTGGACTGTCCTCATCCTCCAGATTGACTGTCCCAGGAGGAGGATCAAAACAAGGGTCTATTTCCCAGCTATTTTTGACTTTGAGAGACATCTTCTGAATGAGCTGAGAAGGCACGTTCTTGCACACTGATTCCTAGCACTAAAGTGACAGTGGCTACTTCTGTGAAGCATTTACTGTCCCTGAAACAGGATCCACATTTTACCTTGGTCATCTAGTCCCCAGACCAAGTAAAGATTCATGAAAACAAAAACATTAATTTAGCCCTAGCCGGTTTGGCTCAGTGGATAGAGTGTTGGCCTGCAGATGGAAGGGTCCCAGGTTCGATTCCGGTCAAGGGCACATGCCTGGGTTTCGGGCTCGATCCCCAGTAGAGGGCGTGCAGGAGGCAGCCGATCAATGATTATCTCTCATCATTGATGTTCCTATCTCTCTCTCCCTCTCCTTTCCTCTAAACTAAAGTGATTAGTTTAAATTAATCACTGCAACAACAAAAAGGTATTGAAAATGTCTCAGGCACTTTGCTAGATCATTTATGTGCGGTAAATAAAATTTTAGTTATTAAAACATTTGTTCAAAAAACAAAATTTAAAAAATACTTATTAAGGATCTTCTCTGAGCCATCACAACTTAATGAGACAGTTAATATTATTATTTCATTTTATGGCTGAAGAAGCTGAGTTTTAAAGAGTATAATATTTTTCACAAGGTCACATGCTAAATACATGAGCTGGGATTTGACCTCAGGTGTCCCTGAGAAAAAGGTAAAGCTCATCACTGCCTCCCATGATGCCATCTTTAGCTGCTAAGCATGTTTTCCCAACCTCACCTAGCTCTCAGATACACTTTTTGTATTTTTTTGGAAGCAAGCCCATCCAAACATTCACTATGACAATGTAGAAAGGTCAAGGTTTGGGTTGTATTTTTTTTTGCATGCCATTTCTCTCAAGCCACTGTTTGCAAATTATTGCACAAGGTGCCAGGATACTCTGTGACTGTACCAGAGGCAATTTCTTAATAGATCCAGTTCCTACAATAACAGCCACAGGTCAGAAAATGAGGGAGTTATGGAATAAGTGGTTTGGGGCCTGTGTTTTTTGGCCTGGCACTGGTGAGAGTGTATAATCTGGATAGATGTTAGCTTTTCAAACAAACATAACCTCTGGTTGCATTAAAGGAGGAAATAACATTTAAACTTGTTCTCCTCATTAAAGAACTTTACAAAACTAGCATTTGTTGAACTCAAAATGGACATTAGTTCTGATGAGCAAAAATGATCACAGGAATGATGGAGCTACCAGAATAATTTTGAGTCTACTTTTCTCAAATAATCAAATGGGTGTTACATTAAACATAGGCCTCACCCTGGCCGGTGTGGCTCAGTTGGTTGGGCATCATCTGTACACCAAAAGGTTACAGGTTCAATCCCCTGTCAGGGTACACACCGAGGTTGGATCCCTGGTCCAGTGTGTGGGGGAAGCAACCGATCAATGTTTCTCTCTCACTCTCTTCCTAAGAAAATAAAAATAAAAATATGTCTCAGACAGCTCATTTATATAGTAAATAAAAAATAGTGAACTTGTGTGTGTCTGTGACAAGGTCCTGGAGTAGAGCTGAATTTTGACATGAAGACTGGGTCTCATCAATATTCTTTTCTTTGGAGGCCTTTCTTCTTTGACCTGATGCTACCAGTGGGATATTGGTAATTTGCATACCTCACCTGTTTAGACAAAAGTTTATAAATTCGAAGATAAAAAGAAAACAAGAAATTACTGAAATAAGGAAGAACCACTATTTGATAGATGAGGGACACTGTCATAAAGGAATACTGTAAAGCAGAGTAGGTCCAATTTGTGACCTGTGTTTTAAAAAAATGTTTAAGGGGACATGTGTAATAAAAAAAATTAAGTTTACACTATGGGAAAGAAACAATAGGGGAATACACTTGTTTCTATTTTTAATCCAGGTTAATTCTTCATATTGTGAAAGAATATGAGAAAGAAAAATCATGTAACATAAAACTACCTTTTATTCACAAGTGAATAATGCATTCTATAGCTAGAAAAAATAGGTCTATGAAATAAAATAATTTACGTATGGAAAGATTTTAGGCAAAACCTAATTGTGGCTCATTAAATTTAGCTTTATTTGCTGGAAGACACTATTAATAAGGTGAGGATGCAACTATGCCATGTTGTTTGTATTAAAATATATTTATAGTTTTCTGCACTTTAAAAATAAATGTCAGGTTCTAAAATCATACTATTACTATGAAAGCAGTAGCCTCATAAAAGACAAAGGGCAGAAAAACACATGAGTAATTTCAAGGCATTACAAAATAGCTATATTCTGTACTAACATTGAGTAAAGAAATCAAAAGCCTCCTGTGATCAGTTCAGGATTTCTTTTTCTTTCACTACTAGGATTGAAGGACATCTGATATCCAGATACTGATAAAGACTTAGATTTTATCAGCTCATTTGTCCAACTGAAATATTTATTAGAGCTTATAAAGATATGTCTGTGATTTTATAAGTAACCTACTTATTAATAACTTACTAACATAAAACTAAAACAAAGCACAAGTAAAGAACTACTTACTATTGCTGAAAAAGAAAAGTGTTGAAAGATCTTAGAACAGATCTTTCTGCTATAAATCCTATATACATTCCTTAAAAAGAATTGCATGGTACAAAACCCTGCACTAAAATGAACAGGGTTTGTGTGTGTAATAGAGTTCAAAGCAATCTACTCAAATCTTTGTAACATTGTAATGCCATCATTAAAAAGCAATCTCAGTAGTAATACTGGCACAGACAAATCTTCACAAACATTTGCAACCAGAATCAAAGTCCACATCTGATTCTCAGACCTTGAAACACGGGGTTTGCGCTTTTACTTTTAGATGTGGATACTAGAGGGCATTTCATCGAGGCCAGTCTTACTAAAACTAAAAACCTGATCAGAGAGGTAAATTTCTATATCATTTGATATTTTTAATTCTGGGGAATGTCTTCACAGCTTCTCCATCTGTGCTGTCAGCTTCCCCAGATAACTTAATTCTACAAAGCACAGCCGTTTTTGAAGCACATTAAACAGATGCATCTTGTAACAGAACAGAACAGTTCAATGTGATGTGTGGGAAAGAGAGACGATCACCTTCACACAAGCCGACCAAAGTGGATGAAGTTAGTTTTTGTTTTGTTTTTGTTTGTTTGTTTGTTTAAAATCAACTTTATTAGTGTACATTTGACAGATAATAAAACACATACATTTTCAGTTAGTGAGATTTGACAAATGTATTACGCTTGAGTCATCGACCACCCTAATCAAGATCCTTTAAATCCTGGGACTTGTGTGTCTTTTTAAGTTTTTGAAGGAGGTGCCAGTCTCTGGCATTCTCTCCAGGAATGAGCTATCGGTTGTTATTTATTATCTTGGTGAGGGAAGAGGAACTCTTTCAAAGGCTTCTCCTTGGCCTCTTCCATTATAATAACTCTTACTATACAGGCCAAGAGACTAATAAAAGGCTTCTGCCAACAGCTAAGAGCATCTCTTCCAATTATATAGTAAAAAAAACAGGGAGTGCACGGCAGGTGGGTCTGTGAAGCCAACAGTTACGACGTGAGATGGACCTGAGTAAAGGTTGCATTTATTCCCTGACCCCCATATACCCCTTCTCTATTAGCACTGCCATGACCGCACATTAGGGCAGCACGGGGTATCATCATACCCGGTATCCATCAGTCCTAAAAAAATCTATGGCGTCACCTTTGTCCATGTACATTTACTAGAGTAGGTGGTCATAGGTCCCTTAGAAAAGGGACTGAAGTCACTACTGTGTAGGTTTGCTGTTGCGTTGCAAGGTCCTTCCTCACGGATTGCTGGATTCTCTTTCAGTTGGTAGGTTCTGTGTCTAAGATAAGCGCAGGCCTGGAAACTGGACAGACACTTTCCATTGTGGTGGGTGACCTCGGTCCTCTGCATGCCTGTTCTTGGTCTTTCAGTTACCACCTTGCAGCCTCTCTGTCCTTTTCAGGTTGCTTCTGATAGTTTAGTGCTGCCACTTGGTTCTGTGGTTCCACCAGGATTGTTTGGCTCAGTGGATAGAGCGTCGGCCTGCAGACTGAAGGGTCCCAGGTTCGATTCCTGTCAAGGGCATGTACCTTGGTTGCGGGCACATCCCCAGTAGGGGGTGTGCAGGAGGCAGCTGATTAATGTTTCTCTCTCATGGATGTTTCTAACTCTATCCCTCTCCATTCTCTCTGTAAAAAAAATCAATAAAATATATTAAAAAATTTTTTTTTCTTCATAGAATTCTTATATCTCTTTTATTAGGTGAATTCCTAGACACTTTATTTTTTTTTACTTTTTATTGAATTTTTTGGGGTGACACTGGTTAACAAAATTATTTAGGTTTTAGGTGTACAATTCTACAACATATCATCTGTACACTGTATTGTGTGTTCACCACCTCAAGTCAAGTCTTCATTCAACACCATCTATCCCCCTATGCCCTTCTCTATCTCCCCCTCCCCACTGGCAATCACCACACTGTTGTATCCATGATGTTTTTCTTTTCTCTTTCTTTTTTTCTCAATCTCTCCACCACTACCCCCAAGACCCCCGTCCAGGCCCAACAGCTGTCATCCTGCTCTCTATCTGAGTCTGCCTCTATTTTGCTTGTATATTTCCCAGTTGCTTATCACTGGAATAAATAAATACTGTTGAGTTTCTTTGTAAGAGAGTCTTGTGCCCATACACTTTATTGAATTATCTTGTTCTAATTGTTTTCCTAATGATTCTTTTGGCTATTTTTTACAAATATATGTTTATATGTATAAATATGATACAATTCTCTTTCCCTCTAAGACTTGCATCTCTCCTTTTATTTCCTTCCCCCCCCCCTTTCAGTGTTGATCAAAAACTAGTACTAATTTAAACAGGCCAATAATAGAGGACATGTTTATGTAGCCTGAATGGTAAACTAAATACATTTGCAGTTTCCCCATTAAGTGTAATATTTACTGATGCTTTGGTATATGAAACCTTTTAAAAAAATAAGAATTTATTTTCATTTCTAGATTTTCCTTTTTTAAAAAATATGTGTGTGTGTTTTTGTTGTTGATTTGAGATAAAAAGTGAGGAAGGGAGAGAGAGAGAGAAAGAGAGAGAGAGAGAGAGAGAGAGAGAGAGAGAGAGAGAGAGAAACATCAATGTGAGAAATCTATCAACTGCCTTCTGCATGTCCCCCATTGGGGATTGAGTCCACAACGAGAGAGAGAAAGAGAGAGAGAGAGAGAGAGAGAGAGAGAGAGAGAGAGAAACATCAATGTGAGAAATCTATCAACTGCCTTCTGCATGTCCCCCATTGGGGATTGAGTCCACAACATGGGCATGTTTCCTGACCAGTGCATTGAAAGACGCTCAACCAACTGAGCAACACTGGCCAGGGCTATTTCTAGGTTTGCTAATTATTTATTGTAAATATATATTAAACTTTTATCAAATTTGTTTTTCTATCTTTTAAGGAACTCATATTGTTTTTTCTCCCTTTGTTCATTAAAAAGATATTTACATTGAAAGAGTTCCTGCTATTCATCATCTTTTTATTTCTGGGATTAAAAATACCACTTGATTTTGGTATATTTTGTGATATTTACTTAGTTAATATTTTTATTTACTTACTTAATATTTTTGTTTAGGATTCATTTAGTTAATATTTTGTTTAGGATAATTGCATTTATGTTTTTAAGGCAAATTATTCCTTATGTCCTTACCTTTTTGTGGTCCTTGTTTAGTTATGGATTCAAGATTAGATTAACCCTATAGCATAAGCTGAGCAATTCTGGCAATTTTTTAGTTTCTAGAAACACAAATGTAATATAGAAAATAACTATTCCTTAAAAGTTTGAGAAATTAATTAACAATCTGGATTTTTGAGAAGTGTCTGGAAGGGTAAGATGATTACTACTTCCATTTTATTAATACTCACTTTTCTATTTAAATTTTTTTATTCCTTCTTGTACCTTATGAGTATTTTATATTTTCCCCATAATTTATTCCATTTAATTAAGTATTCAAATTTGCTAACAAGTTCTTGTTCATAATACTCTTTATTATTCCATTTTTCTTATTTCTTTGAATTATTTTTCTTGAAAAAATATTTATAAAGCTAAATTTCTTCTTCTAAGTACCATTTAGTTCACATATACATTTTATCTTTTAGATATAAATATTTCACAATTTTTCATATGATTTCTCTTTATATCTAAATGGCATATGATTTTTGTTTTTATAAGTGTGAAATTTAGTTAGATAGCTTTTTTATGAAATTCTACTTTTATTATATTATGGCAAAAAAACAGTCTGTATGCCATTTAAGTTTTGGAATTTATTCAAGATTAGTTGGAGCAGTAGTGGAGGTCAGTTTTTATAAATTATCCATATATGATAAAAATGTATAATCTTTATTAAGTTTAGATCTTTATAAATATCTAATAGTTTGGACTTATACATTATATTGTTTATATCTGCTATGTTTGCCATTTTTTTGTTCTACTTGTTTTTTGTTTCTGAAAAGTTATATTTAAAAAATCTCTAACTACAATGGTTAATATATCTATTTCTTCATGCATTTCTGTTAATTGTACTTTTGAGGCTATATCATGGAATATCATCATGATGAACCATTATATAATCCCCCTTTATTGTTCCTTTTACCAGTATATAAGATCATCTGTGTCTCTTTTTATCTTTTTTTGGTCATGAATTCTATTTTGTGAGATATTAGTACCTAGAGATAATTATACACTTCTCTTTTTAAAAAGACTTGTGATCCAAATTTTCTGATTTCTGTAATGAAGTTTCGTTGAGTATATGTTCTATTTTATCAGTGAATAAAACAGTAATTGCTTCTTAAAACAAATGTGCACTGTGAAGAGAGAGCTTGGAAAATGGATACTTAGAAATGTTGTTTGTTGCTTTAGATTTTTGGTTGCCAACAATAACATGGAAGGAAACTGTTTCCCAGAATAGCCCTTTGTGACTCCAGACATCACTGCTGTGCTTTACCTCAATTCCTCACCCACAAAATTATGAGCATAGTAATATAGTTGTTTTATGTTATTCTGTTTTGGGAAGATTTTTTTGTTTCATAGTAGTAGATAATGAGACAAATAATCATTGAGTCAGAATTTGTATATACATACAGGGATGTGCAAGAGTAGGTTAATAATAATAAATACAATAATTAATAAATAACACAAGAATAAACTCTCCCATACTCACAACTGTAAACTTACTTTTGCATAACCCTATAAATACATGCATGCATATGTACATATGTATACATACATGTATATATGTATATGCACATATGTGTATATATGTGTGTATTTGTGTATGTATGCATATATGTGTGTGCATGCATATATATGTATATGTGTATGCATGCATATGTGTGTATACATGCATATATTTGTGTATATATAATGTGTGTATGTGTCTTAAAAGAAATACGTAAAATAGATTTCAATTATCCACTCAATTTTTTAGTTATAATTATATCATGCATCTATATAGTAGTATGATAATTTTCAAAGAAATCAAATTGTAATTTAAATGAATTAGTATCCTCACTTGTCAAATACTTTGAAGCAAACTGGTATGTCAAATAAAACACACACACACATACACACACACACACAAATACAAATGGATTTTTTTATTCTCATCTGATGGCCTTTCCCTAAACCACATTGCTTTATCTATCTTTTGTGTTTTATAAATGCCATGCATTTTTAGAATGGACCAGTCCAAAAGACATTGATTCAGAAACCTTGATTTTTGTCTTAAAGTTTTACCTAGTTATGATCTTGCTGTCTTACAAAAATCTATATCATACACAGCAATGTATTTTATTTTTAAAAACTTTTTTTGAAAAAAATACTTTTAATAACATGAGTAAAATTACAATTAATTTTAACAAAGCACAGTGTTATGAAAAAGCATTTATTAGTATATGAATGTGCAGATTATTTGTAATGCTGAAAGTCCTCATTTGATTTTTAAAATGCTATAACATGATTTTATTAGATCACCGGAACTTGTTTATTTTCTAACATATTTTTTACCAGACAGTACTTCTATTAGAGAGAACACTAAGTCAGTAAGAAAGCAGTACCTATATAAAACGAGTGAAATGTCTTAATTATGGAAATATTCTATTTTAAGATGGAATTTTAGAAGTAGGCATTGATGTTCCTTAACAAAAAAAAAAATACATTTTGAGCATTTAATTCTCATCAGTAGTGACTTTAATTCTAAGTGGGAGAGGGCTCTCTTTTTAAAGATCAAACGTGGGGCTAACGAAAAACTTCCTCCTGCTGCTTAGTTTGAGGTTCAAAAGATTACCAGGTGGCTTTTACCAATCTATGGAAAGCAAAGGATTTTTGCCTCAATTAAATGGTACTTTTCCAATCTATTTGTGCAGGGGATTTGGGCATTGAAGTTCCTAAATCAGTTTAATAGGTGTGACTGGATTTCCATTTACCAATTAAAAATGCACCTTTTCAGCTGTCCTAACAGCGACTCCCAGGGTTTTGATCTTCCGCTAGGAGAAAATGACATAAAAAGTGTCATGGTTACCCAGTTCTAACTTACTGTGTTTCTGCTTTAAGTAGTCCTGCAAACATAGAATTGTTCATCAATTCCCCTTGAGATGTTACATCCCTTTGTGATTACTCAGAGTGGCCACTAAAGGTCACTCTTACTCTATTTTTTCACCCCACTTTTGAAACCTGAGTCCAGGTATTGCCATCTGCAAAACCCCCATCTTTGCAGCAGCAAAAGATCTACTTGGAATGGAATATTTGGGGCCTAAGAAGTACTAGTTAGCATACCCATCCAGTCGAGGAAGAAACAAAACCTACCTATGTAAGTCAGAAGTTGGAAAGATTTGTGTTATATCCCCACAATAATGCATTTTTAGGAAAGTTATCATGATTCATAAAAAATTTATTTTAAAGTGAATACAGGACAGATGTGAAATTCAATGATTATATTCTGACCCAGAATGAAAATGTTTTATTTAAAAGAGAAATGTCATTTTAAGGAAATACATAGAACACCTCAAATGCTTATTGAATTAATAAGTAAAACGGATCCTATTTAAAGAGGAAGGAGAGAAGTTTGAAAACAGCAGTTGCCAAGAATACAACAGCTTAAAACGTCTGTAAAAGTGAAGGCATTACACATAAGACCCATTTCCTTTTTACACATAAGTGTTTCGGGTATTTAGGAAGTGCTCATATTTAAAAGTCTTTGATTTCTTAGGTAAGGGAAAGACCATATTATTTTGCACAATTTACAGGAGATACTTCAAATAACCAGTAAATGTGCTTTATCTCACTAATGAAAAGGGGGACATAAATAAAAACAATTAAAAGACTGTTTAACATTTAAAATGAAAAAAAATGTAAATGAGGAAATATTAAGTATTGATATTGTGAAAAATCAAGTACAAATTACAATTAGAAACTCCTGTTTATTAGATTTTACTTTTATAAAGCTGTAAAAATGAAAAGAATTTTAGTGCTATGAAACTGTAAAACCATCCTTATACATGTGGACATCATTAATTTCATGTGACCAATGAGGTGTTTTACATAAATTAATTTGCTATTATTTGGTTTAAGAATAGAGAGCTGTAGATTCAGGTCCAGCTCTATTTTCAATATTTCTTTATTTGAATTTCACTACTACTGATACCAATCAGCTCCTCCCCAAGGTTATGTACCATCTTATTAAGTAGCTCAAGTGTTCATTTTATCTAGTTGCTGAGTTAAAAATATAGTGACCATTCATGGTTCTTTTCCTCACAAAGCTTTAATCCATTTCTGATGTCCTTAAGGGCACCACCCACATTCACTGTCAGGTTTATCTATTCCTAGGAAATTTTTTGATGTAATAATCCAGACTTAAGGGTTTAGTAGAATTTGTTTTTCCTCTGGCACTCTCTTGATAGTTCTATAATAATAAAAAAAAACAAGCAAGATGCTTAGAAGACAAAATTTCAAACCTTTCAGATGTTTCAAAATTCAGTTGGTGCCATATTGTTCTTACCATGCTAAATCTTTTACCACTCACTTGGAAGTGAATTTATTATGTTCAAGGAGGTGACTCGGATGTCTGCTCTGTTGGTTTTCAGCATTACAGAGAGGCTGAGGTGAATAAACTCAAGGGAGAGCACATCAGAGAAAGGACTCAACAAGGAGTCTGTAGAAGCTCTTTACTCTGGGACACGATGAGAGGAGAGAGAGAGTTGAGGTGAACAAGACTGATGCACCACTCTCTGATAGAACCCCAGAAAGATGGTGGGCTCACGAAATCCTGAAAGATTCATTGGATAATGCATCATTGGATAAAGCTCCTAGCTGAAATCCCCAAGCAAAGGATTCTCTTGTTCCTCTTATGTTCCTGTTTCTTACTTACTCCGAGATCTGCTCTAGCCTGCCATGTGGCCTAGAAGCCGCATGACCCATGGCTATGCGTACCCTACATGCATTAGACTGCAGCTGGGGACACAAGCTAAGCTAGCCAGCTGCTGGACTGGACTGGACTGGACTGGACTTTGACATAGGACAGAAACTCTGGGCAGTGGCTTTAATCCCAGCTCTGCTGAAGACAAAATGGGACTTTTTCTGTGGCAGGCTGGAGGGAGATGGAACCTTGAGGGGGAACTCCCTTAATGTTACATCATCAATAAAGCTTTCCGGGATACCTCATCCTCCCGTGGGGGCCTCAGGAAAATCTTATTCCCATGGTACCCCGGGAGCTCTATTTCCACCAGCAACAGGTGGGGACATGGAGGACACCCCGCCAATAACAAATTGAGTAAATTTAAAGATCTAATGGGCTTTATTGAGTGATCCATGAATTGGGCAGCATCCCATCTAATCAATAGGTAGATGCTCTGAGAAGTTGTACAAACTAGAAGGTTTTTATAGGCAGAAACTGGGCAGGACAAGAAACTTATTAGCAAAAGAAAAGAAAGCATTGTTTCAGGCAAGGGCAGATTTCGTGGGGGAAGGGTGGCAGGGTCTTATGAGGAAGATTACCTCCCTGGTGTTGATCAGGAAATTCCAGTTTGATTGGTTTAAGGTCAGTTCCTGAGAGGGACTGAGACTACAGGGAAGTCTTGGTCCCTTGTCCTGGGGAAGTCTGGTGCTTGTTTGTTTTATAACAGGAATTTTCCCTTTTTAATTTGGTGTTTTTAAATTTCACTATATTGTGTCCTGACATAGGTTCCCCGCCCCCCCGCCCCCGTCTTGTCTTTCTCCTTTGGCATGCTATAGACTCTTCCAATCTGAGATATTGATTCCTTTATTAATTCTGAGAAGTTCTTCTCTATTGTTCCTTCAAGCACTCCCTTCTCTCAATTTTATTTGTATTTCTTTCCAAGACTGTTTGTTAGGATGTTTTATTTATGGTTTTTCTCCCACATGTTATTTAATTCTTCTTTAAGTTTTCTATTTATGTATCCTGATCTTATTCCTTGTGGAATGTTCCTATGGAGAAGAAAGAATAAGTTTTCTTCTACCCTTCTAAGTCCGCTGAGTGGTCTATAATCAAATGGACATGAGACAGATTAACAGGAAAAAAATCATCAAATTTATTATGTATGTCCATATTGGGATTCCATAAGAATAGGAGACTCTAGAACAGATTGGGCAGGTAAGGCTTACATGCCATCTTAGCTAAGGACCAGGAGGGGATGAGGTTTGGGACTTCAGAGAGGAGGAAGGCAATTCACATGGAGATGGAAAAGCAAATGTTTGGTAAATCAGTGTTTGCTGGGCCATCTTTAACAATGGGAAACAGAGAGGACTTTGATCAAAAGGGCCTTGCTAGGTTCCTCCCTGTCTATCACAGATTAGTTTATATTAAACTATAATTATCTATAACAATATCTTACTTTCTGGAGCAGGTCCTCTATCCAAATTATTTTAGGTAGTTAGGGGAAAAGTCAAAGGTTTTTCTGAGTCTTTCTTTTCTAAAAAA